AGCTAAGTAGATGTGATAAGATTTATGTAGGTCGAGATTGGCAACCATCTGTAACAATTTAAGCGAACTAAATAACTGACAGAGTTGAAAAAGTGTCAAGTTCTTGGAAGAAAAATTGCGATAAGTGAAATTTAACTTTTCAGTTGCAATTTCACTTCACTTTCGTGCATTTTCACGAGTTAGCGAAAAGTATTGTATTAAATATTTTAAAAACTGTATGATATTAAATTGTCTGCATATTTCTAATCAATATAGGCAGGATTGTCCGTCGATATGTGGGTCTAAATGTCTGTCTGTACTAATTACTCGCCAGGTCGGAAAAGCGAAGACATTGCAAAGACATTGATAGTTTTTCCAATTTGCATTGAACATGAGCGCAATCAATCAAAGAGCGGACATGGCTAGAGTACAGAAACGTAAAAAAGGCTAAGAACACCTCTCCGGTCTCACCTCTAAGCTCCCCGGTTTTTTGCTCACTACATTTACACAATAGGAGCTGAATCGATAAAAATTTGTTCTTATACTGTATTAGTGAACCTATAGTACATATCGGAAATAGAAAAAACGGCGGCCGCACCCGACGAATATTATTAAGTACCGAAATTTCATCTTTCGGTTTTGTATGCATTTTGTCAACACAAAGATAGTGAGTAATAAGAGATTAGGCGAACGGATATAATTTTCTTACTTGCCTTTCGTGTAGATGAGAGTCGCAGCTACAAAGTCAGCATTCGATAGTTTAAATCTCAGTGAGACAGACCACACGTGGTCGTACTTACTTTGAGTGCTTTGTCGATAAAGGCATAACATCTACTTATGGGGCATGCTCCCAGTCAGCTGCAATCACTCTCCATCTTCTTCCTTTGATTCACTTCTTTTTGACCATGCAAACACAATAGTGTGACGCGACTCTTCATTAAATACCTTACACAAGTTCGTTTATTACAATTATTCGTATAACTACTTTTTCCAACGCTGCTTGATATAGGGTGGTGGTGGTGGTCGAAAAACCTGTCCGATCCGAACAATCTTCAACAGCATTCGTGTTTTGGGCCAAAACACATCTGTATACCATACTTCACCAAAATATTTCAAAAGTTGCTATCTTTAGGTGGAACACGAGGAAATAATACAGATAGACAGACAGACATGCGGACAAATGAGCAGAGAAGCTTACATTGATGCAAAAAGTGATTCCTAATCGACAGGTATAAAAAGCTGTGGATCTATATCAAGCCCTTCTGTGTGCTGCATACTTTCGCGCAAACTTAACATAACCTTGTATCACATATTGTGAAGGTTATAAAAAGCCTTTTAATATAACTTAAATATTAAATTCTTATGAAATTATATTCATAGCAAATTCTTTGAAAATTTTCTCCGAATTTCTTAAACCAAATAATAATTTTTTTTTTTTTTTTTTAGTAATTTTCAAAAACCTCTTTCTTTTCAAACTATCGCAATATTCGCAGAATTTTTTGTATTCTTTGTTTTTTCCATTCCTTTATTCTTTCTACCGTAAAGAAAACAAAAAATATTCACATCCCTTTGAACTGTTTAATCTATTGTTCGAATATTAGAACTTTTTCTCCTGAACGCACACACATATATATCTAGCTTCTCGCAAACGACCGCAAATAGAATTCTTTCTCCTTTTTATCTTTGCTATTAGTGTCTTTTGAAGTGTAAAATGAAAACCCACATCTCTAGTTGATGTTTCGGCTTTGTCACGCTATACTATATATACCGGATGGTGTGCATGCTCACAGTTTGATAACATTCAAGTGCAATTTTGTAATTAAAAAATTTCTTCTTTTTTTTTTTTGCATAAGCTGATGCACGTCGTGTGCTGAAATCAGCACGTATGTGTTGCGCATATTTTTAATGTTAATAAATTTTTTTTTCCTTATTTGAAGACAAGCTCTTGCTTACGACTCAATACAATTTAGGCAAATTAAAATATGATTGTCCTTCAAACCAAAATGTCAGAGTGACTTGAAAATAGGAAGGATGTATCGTTTTCTAAATTCAAGTCGTTATGCTTAGCAATAATATTGTTATTCATTCTTGTTCGAGGCGGGTTGACGTTTTACTCTCTATAAGCGTGTGTTGTTTTGTCTATTTACTTTCTATCTTCACGACGTACTCAATTAGCACGGTATGATCAAATAAAATCTTCCCTTTCTGAAAGGCCATATCGTCCATGGTCTTTTTCAGAATTCTACCTACACTAATAGTTGTCTCCAGTATCGCCAGGAAAAATAGATGTCTAGCGCATAGAAATTGTTGAAATTTACTTGCGTTACGCGCATTGCGTAGCATTTGTGGTCGACAGAACTTACTTTGAGCAACGCAATTGAAAAATTGGAATCAAGTATTAGTGTTCGTGATCTTAAAAATTCAAACCTTCAAGTATGCAAACATGCTACAGAAAACATCGATGCTGTGAGTCAAAGTGTGGACTAATTACCACATTGCAATTATCATAATTGGACTGAGTGATATGTGGTTTTAACAAGATGGCACAAAATGCTTTACATTGCGAAAGAGAGAGGGAGGGTTCAATGACCGCTTAATGCCGATATGAAGTGGTAACCAAGGTCTTGCGTGCTTGGAGATATCTTTACCGTCAAATCAGTGGTTTAATCTAATAAATCACATACACTTAGCGATCTTCAAAGAACGATCTTGTTATTGGCCAAAGATTTAGTTGGAAAAGAGATTACAAATTTTCTGTATGTCACAAAAGTCCAGAAGACATCACTCACAGGAAATCGTTTCTAAAAAAAATCGCACACAACCAATGACGAAGATTGAACGAAAAAAATGTATTAAAAAAAAAATTGACAAAGGAAACCCTATCCGCCACACTACAACCGTGTTAATCCCAATTGCACCGCGTCGGTCAACTTCGAGAAATCGAAAATCCAAAGATTTGCAAGAATCCGTCATTGCCATACCATTATGCTTAAGAAATCTTCTCCAGTTTGCAATTTGGAAAGGATTTTAGATTTTAACATATATATATATATATATATATATATATATTGTGAATCCTAAAAGTTTTCCAATATTCCAAGATTCGTCTTTGGAATGCCCATTACCCTGGAGAGCTTAATGTCAACAAAAAAAAATTTAATTTTATTAAAGCGATCAACTTACACTTATCTAGTCTATCCTATCTAAAAAAAGCACCGATAATTTTAGTTTCTAATGCTCATCTTGCTTTTTGTCCTAAAATTTTTTTCTTTTGTTGAGCGTTGCCCAATCACTCAGTGGAAATCCATACATCAGTTGCGTTTTTTTGTTCTTTATTGGAGGAGAAAGCAAAAACTATTCCTTTCTTTTACTACATATTCAACTTACGCAAGAAGATGATGTTATAGCAAAGTGAGGAAAAAAACGGAGGTTATTGGCCCTCAATGGAAACGATGTAAATGTTAACAATTCAAATGTGAGGTTTAAATAAATAAGAAAAATTTAATAAAATAATTAAAGGAACAAAATAAATTCATTTCTAAATGGAAAATGCATTAAGCGATCAATTTTCAAAACTCTTATCCAAGAAAGTTATGTGCCTACTTAGTCTGACATGATATTTTGAAGAAAGTCGTTTAACTGAATGTTTAATAAATGGAAACTCCTGGTTAGCATGAACAGTTAAATGGCTAACAAACAACGAGGCATTAGCATGAGCCGAATGCATTTATTTCCTAGATTACGTTCTACATCTGGTTTTCAGGTTCTTTACCATTTTCTAAATGGACCAATCACTCAAGACATGTTGCCTATCCCTGAAACACGATGATGGTCGGAAAGAAATGAGAAAAACCAAGAGATGGAGAGAACAAGAGACAAATGGTGGCTACAGCCCAGTGAGTGTTTGTCCATCTCGATTGAGCGCTCACTATAGCTGTGATCGAAGTAGACACTAGCACTTACCGACTTAGTACTCACTAGAGTACAGTATAGACCGAAGTGAACTCTACCGCGCTGGAGTGTGAACACGTGAGCAATCACTTGGTAGACGCGATTCTTATCTACTCGGCTACTCCTGCGGATAAGGAGTTAAGATTTGAATCCACGGACATTCTTCTTCGGATTCTTAACTACTAAGCTACTCATGCCTTTATGTAATTTATGCATAATTATCTTTGCTCAATACGTAAGCCAAGGTACAGACTTGTTCATTGGTAGGTGATTGCCTTTATTTTAACATTCCACTCGTTCAATCAAAGCGAAATTTTGCTGAGATAAATTTGCTGTTCATAGAAAACTAGACGAGAATAGAATTGCTGCATATGCTGCGGATAAAATAATGTCAGCCATGTAAAATGTTTATTGCTGTCGCTTTAAGTCCTCCTCTATGCCACAGCAAAATTATTTGCAATCCTCTTAGTCAAAATATTCAAATATTATAATGTGTTCGAATGAAACTTTGCTCACATTTTACTCTTTAACGTTAGTAAATAACATTTTAGTTTATTGACCTATAATCGGGTATATACATACATACATAATAATCAGCGCAAGTGGAAAAACATTTTGACGAATTTTTTAAATATTTTTTTGCATATTTTTAAGTATTTATCCATATTCGTTTGGTAGGCTTAAAACATTAATTTGTGTTGCATGTTTTTCCTAAATTTAGATACTAATCGCATTTGACATAAAGGTAACAAATAAAAAACATAAAATGAGAAAAGAAAACACGCATACCTTGTTCATAGTTATGTAAGCACATACAAATATAATTTAAATTAAAAGTAATAAAAAGCAATATAAAATATTCGTAGCAAGTCTGGAAAGTTAAAGCGAACGATTAATTAAACCGATAAATCAAAACATAACAAACAAAAAAAAAAAAAAGGAATCACAAAAAAGGCTTTCGGCGGCAATTCCCTCCATCGTTAATTACTGTAATAAAACTGATTGCTTGATATTAAATATCTTCTTACCATTTTCGTTCCTCTTCCTTTTTATTGTTCTTCTAATTGCAGTCTAAATTTGTATGAATTGATTAAGAAGAATAATTACAATGGTTTTAGCATGAGTTTAATAAGACGCTTCTGCAATTCGATAGTCAAATGTTTGCGTCTATTGTATAAAGAAAACATCATACATTGTGATCTCAAGCCGGTAAGTTAAAGACATTAAAGTTACCTTGGCTTGTCTTTCTTTCTTCTCTTCGTCTCTTTCTCTTCTTAATTGCAATAATATTTTGCTTTTTTACTTTCTAGGAAAATATTCTATTAAAACAACGCGGCAGCAGTTCAATAAAAGTCATCGATTTTGGCAGTTCTTGTTATGTGAATCGTAAGATCTACACTTACATACAATCTCGATTCTATCGTTCGCCAGAGGTTATATTAGGCTTGCAATATGGAACCGCCATTGATATGTGGAGTTTAGGTAAGTAAATTGAAAACAAGTGAAAATACCTATAATGGGGCATGTCTCACCAACCCACAGTTATTCCAATAATGACTCCTCAAAATATGGTGTCGCCGGGCGAAGTGTTCGCGAAAGTGTTCCCATCCGAGTCATTTCCGGTCGTGTCCATTTTTTTTGCAATATATGTCGATGCACCAAGTGTCATCAAATTTGTGACATTTAAGTTGGACGCAAGGAACCAAACCGGACAGAGGGACAGACAAGTTTAGATCGATTCGAAATTACTTCGTTGCAATAAAAAGTGACACTATATCAAGTCATTATGGATGTGGGATGCGTCCGTACAAACTTAATATACTTTTGTACCGCAAATAACGTAGTGTATAAAAGACATGAAAACTAAATTTAAGTTTATTAAACATTGCGTGACCGTTTACTTCGTCGGCGGCCTTTGATGTTTGTTGACCCAAATTTTGGTAATGGATGTGCTAATCTTATTTAACATAGTTAACATTATATACTCATGGGAGATAATTCCCGTGTTGTTTAGATTGTTTCACTCAATTAAAATACCCAGTGCTAGTGTAATAAATGTAATAACGTAAGCTTTCTTCTACGTCCATGTAGTTCCTTATGTGCAATTTAAGGACTACTAGTAAAACTACAACAACAATTTGCTTATGTGTTGCACATATGTCTATATACTTTTAATTAAAACTATACACTACTAACGCATTAAACAGAACCTTTTAACTTGTCTGGCGGGTGTGAGTAAACGCACAGCAGACTGAGCACTGGTAACTACTACTCAACATTTTAACATTTATTTTATGCTTTCTACATCGTTTGTTTTACATGCATGCATACGCATTCAACTTGTAAAAGTGTGATGTTACCATTCACACATCCATACCCACCATGGTTCTATTATTATTAAAACTAATGAATATCTCTCTTTGTCTATTCAGTGAATAAACGAACATTCATTGCTATGTATCTTTTTCTTTTTTCCTTTTTTTTTTTCTTTTTGTTCTTTTTTTTTCGTTTTGCTTTTGTCAACACTTTACAATTGAACTCAATATCACTAACGTATATTGTTGGATAAAAATGAACATGCGTTGAAGCATTAATTCGGACTATGCATGATTAATAACAAGCATTAAATTTTTAATGAAAATGTGGAAAAGTCTTTAAAGTTTAAAAAAGTGATGACTGCCACGATGTGGGCCGAGTTTGGTAAAATTACAGTATTAGAATTTGATTTGATTTGCGTTTTCTGGCATCTTGGTGCAAGTTCGTGGCATGGTTTCATCACTCCTTGCGGCTAAATTACATTTTCAGTAAACGTACATAACTTTTTACGTCAATCAATCTATACCTACCAAGCATATATTTTTTTGGATTTAAAACGCTTTATAAAAAATAGATACCGTAGGGTTGTTTTTTAAATGAATATATTTTTTTTAGCACAACGTAGAATATGTTTTTTAAAATCATATTTTAAAAATGTATGTGTGCTCACTCAACTGGCTATCTGAGTCATAAATATTTTTGCCCATGAATCAAAAATTCGCTTGCAAAAACTATGTTGCAGACCATGAAAACCGTTAACATTGATGGCAAAGGGTGTACAAATAAATTCTGTCGTATATTTGGTAAAATTCCACAAAAACCTAGTAATCGATATAGGCGCAATCATTACCTACGGTCTTGACACTCTTAACGGGTAGTTAGCGAATTCTCTCACTGTAGAAAGTTCATGGTTTCGAGGCGAAACAGTCACCGGTCCAATGTGCTGAAAATGGTTGCATCCATCTAAACCGTATGCTAAACAGGAGGAAACAGGACAGGACAGGTGCGATGAAAGCAATGTTCTGCACCCAAGTTGAAGATCACTTCCTGCGCTGAATATATGCGAATTATCATCGCTTTCAAGACTAACATTTGTTGCATGAAAATTTGCAGAGAATTTCATAGTGTATTTGAACTTCAAGCGAACTTAATCCTGAAAAAGATTTAAAAAAAGGAAAAGAACGAGACTTTCATACTCTGTAATATTGAGACGGTCCGGCTGAGTTTTTCTATTTTCCGAATAAAAATGAAAATTTATTTGATGCATGTATTGTGCTTTATGTATAACAAGCAAGTTCACACTTTTTATTGCATAGGTGTAGACGTATCCTTTGAGCTATTTATGCTATTTTCAAATTCTTTTGCATACTTTTAGACGATATCTTCATATTTGCGAAAAGGAGAATGCTTATCACAGATGCTACATAGTTGACCAAATGGACAGATGGACAGACGGACGTGCTTAGTTGTGATGATGAATATGAAGCTCGTCACGTTTTTAGATACTTTGGGGGATTTTTGAAGTTTGTTTCCAAGCGTTATTAGAGTATTGAACCAAATTAATTTCTGATACGCTATAATGCAATCGGATAGCAATAAATTCAGTCCTCAAAATTTATTTGTACTCCTAATGTATTCATTGCGTCACATTTGGTATAATGGCCGCCCAAATTCTAGAAAAAACGTCCTCAGACTAATCTGCAAGTGCTGATAGCAACTGTTGAAAACAAGCGCTTAGCGAAAGATCAAATGACTGTAACGTACACAAAAACCATGACAAGACAATTTTGAGTGGACGCTATTCTGCAGCCGAGCGTTATTAGGAATACTCAGCTCGGATTTATTATTTGCGTTGACCTAAACCTTACTTTTTATTATTTGTATTATTGCAAGGGGACTAAATATAATATCGAACCATACTCAATTTCGCTTAGTGAATCTTACAAACAACGAGTTGTTGAGTACAGCAAACAAAATGGCAAAAAAACAGGCTTGACCGGCTTTTTCGTATTCAAGCTAAACGGTAACGACTTCAAACTGATTACTTTTACAAACACTCGTCTATTCATGTGCGCGGTTTCCTCTACATGTAGATTTGATAATTGTTTGAGACGCCTTAGGCAGCTTTCAGTTTCGCTGTAGTAAAAAAAAGGAAGAGCACTTAAGTGTTTGAAGCGATATCCATCTATTCACAAATAAATTTTCTCAATAAAGGGTTTTACAATGTAATTTAGAGGCAAATATTGTTGATTTTTTGTGGATAGATTTTTCGTCCCTATATTGATTATTCCATTTAACCTGCAAAAAGAAAAGAAAAAAACTTGTTCTTTTATATGATATTTCGAATTCGTAATCATAGTTGATGCAAAAAAAGAAAAAAAAAAAAATTATCTCCCTACTGTATGGCTTCTCTGAACGTTGTATAAAAAGAAAATTTCGCTTTTTAAATAATTTGTTAAGCATCGCAAAAACCTTGACCTTCTCTTGCTCTTTATCTAATCAAACATAGCAAAGCCGTCACAAAAAAGTCTGTATAGAGCTATAGACTTTAACAGACAGTCTTCACCCCTTTCGAATAAGTAAAACAAGACTTTTTAAATTGAAAAAGAAAATAAATGTAAAATTAAAATTTGACTGCAGGCCAATTGAAAGTGAAAAACACAAACCAGCATCCCTTGGTAACAGAAAAAAAAAAAAAAAAAAAAAACAAAACAAAACGAAACAAAACAAAAAGTGGAAAAAGTTATATTCAGATACGCAGCATTATTGGCAAGTACTTAGAAATCGCAAAGCTTTTAGTTATCGCTGCACGTGTCAGTTGAGTAATCGAAGCTATTTAGTTCCACTAATGTTAAAATAGATGTTCACTGTAGCTGCGAATTTTCCTTGCCTCCAAAATCTTTAAAGCAAAAAACCCTCAAAAAAAGTTTTAAATTTCAATTAAGTGACATAAGTAGATTTAACGGTCAGATAATCGACAGATGTTTTGAATGATAAAAGCAATCTGACGTCATCCGCTAGGATCAGAATATTTGAAGATCCTATGACTAAAGGCCAGTTGTTCAAATATAAAGCAAAAAGGGTAAGACCCAGGTGACTGCTTTCAGGTGGCCTCAAATAGGTGTTAATATCCTTTCGTATGATGGACCTAAATGAAACACCCTAAACCCTGTGCTCTAAATACGCACAAATACAATTTATAAAATATGGAGGGAAAGCATTAGTTCCAGTTTCAGAACTAGCAGGTTAATCTTAGCCCTTTAAATAATTTTATAGATAAAGTTCATGTTCGTACTTTGAGCAAGCAAGTAGGCTGATATGTCATATACGTACCTCGTTGTTCTCCTTGATCCAGTAATCTGCGACGCGATTATAATAGCTGTGGTCATTTTCAAAAGTCAAATAAATTATTTTCATATGTGATTTCGAAAAAGTGCTAAAGGCTGTCTTTGTATGAATAGAAAGCAATTACAGAAATTATGAAAAGCAATTTTCAAAAATATTAAAACTATAATAAAGTCTGACATGCTAGAAAATTAAAAGTGCAGTAAAGAAAAATGAGCATAGTTTTCACATAAGTAAGGTCACCAATAGCTTGCGCTTTTTGGCGCAATACTATGAAAAGCTATCATCAAACAAAACAATTGCATGATATCTTATTTTGCAGACATTACTTAGAACTCGTGCAACATTTTCATTTTACTTCCGTTCTAATAACGTTGGCAAATTTATTTTTATTAAGATTTTAATTAAAAACTTGTAGTAACGATTTTTTTTTTTTTTTTGTTTTCATACAAAATCGTCCATACAATCCAGAGAGTTTTAAGAAAACTTGATGTCATGATGCTTCCATCATGTGTCCTTGTTAGTGACATTCTATAAAATTGGCTCTTGTCGAGGAATGCATAATATCATGTTATTATTTTTCATAATAATTGATTTAGATCGAAAGAATAAATTCTAGTTAGGATGAGCACTAGCAACTTAGCCTATCCGCTCCGCTTTTCATCGTAATCACTTGGTGTGTTTGGTAAAGTAGTCATTCATTCGTCACATAACGCCAGTCATAAGCAGTTAAGTCGAGTAATGATGTTCACTGCGAAATGGACATATTTTATATATAAATTTTAGGTGAATACAGTAACAAATAAATTCGCTTTGAAAAGAAAATATAGGGACTAAGAAAAAATCAAGAGAAAATGCTCGTTTGTTATTTGGCAGAGGATATCAAATGTATATTACGAAAATTATCGAAATCAAATGAAAAACGAAGCAGGGAATACGATTATTTTCGAATTTATTTAAAGATTTTTTTTTTTTTTTTGCATTTATTTTAGGTTGCATTCTGGCTGAACTTTATACTGGATTTCCATTGTTTCCCGGTGAGAATGAAGTCGAACAATTGGCCTGTATTATGGAAGTGTTGGGATTGCCACCCAAAGATCTCATTGCCAATGCGACTAGGCGTCGTTTATTTTTCGATTCGCGAGGTTCGCCCCGGTGCATAACCAATTCAAAAGGCCGGAAACGTTCACCAGGCAGTAAAACGTTGTCACAAGTCCTGCTCTGTCAGGATCGTTATTTTATTAATTTTTTACAACGTTGCTTGGAATGGGATCCAGCGGAGCGTATGACTCCGGACGAGGCGGTACAACATGAATTTTTACTGCCGTCTTCTTCAAGCCGACACCGATCCAGTCGTATGACAAGCTCTTCATCGACAGGTGGCCTAAATAATTCATCCTCGCAAAAATCTTCCTGCTATAGTTTCGCTGAGATCTCACCATCAGCAGCTAATAATAGTGGTGCTGTAGTCGCTTCCATAACAAGCACAACGACAGTCAGTAATGCTGCCATCGCTACCACCACAAATAAATCGTCACGTCTTGCCACTAATGGTCATCACATGTCTGCTTCCACCATTAATGGTAATACACATAATCACTCAAGCAATCCACATGTCCAACAACAAACCTCGCTTGCCCAATCGTCAAGTCATTTACCTGACATTAAACTTAATGCCGGCGATAAGTATAATAGCATGCAAAAAATGGCTGTGCGCTCAAAAATAACCTCTTCGGTATCAGATCTAGAATCAGTGCAACAATATTCTCTACATCGTATGTACGGCGGCGGTAACAATGGAGGTTCGAACGGTGCATTAGGTAATCATGTTGGTACTTCACATATAAATGCTCAAGCAGCTACCCGTAAACATTTAATTACCGGTACTCTGCAACCCAATACATCGTCAAAATATGGTGGCGGTATAGCTACCTTAGGTCATACACATCATAACGGCAATCATCACTCAACACATTTGACAGCAGCTCATCACAACTCCGCGGCCAACAATAATATAAACATGTCACACTCACAATCGACTGGCGACGTTTCGGCCATATTTGGACGTGCTTGACTTCGCGCCCGACCCACAAAACTAGAGCTCAAAAAATGCAAACTAGTCAATATGGTGGATTTCTGGAGCTAGAAATTAAAGTAAAAATGTAAAGAAAAAAAAAGCAAAGAACTATCAATGCAATAAGAAATGCGTCAGCAAATATACGGGGAAAGCATATGCCAGATTTGAAGAATAATGATCTTTAAAAAAGTGTAAAAGCTGTGTTTCATGATGAAAACTTTTCGTTGTAGGAGAATAGGAAAAACATATTCATTTAGATTTTAAGATTACAGTGATCTTTATATATATATATATGAAAACATATATATATGTGAAATGAAATCAAATTTAGTTGTAAAATAGTTCGTATGCATGTATATCATAGAAGTCATAAAATTGAAATTAATTTCCGCACTAAAAATAGAAAGTAAAAAAGAGTACATAGGTTTCTTAAAAAATAAACAAAAAATTAAAAAAAACAAAAAAAACAATGTTTAAAGAAAGAAGCGATGAATCGATTTTAAAGCAATCCGTTTTAGAAAACCCAAAGACGAAAGTTTTTTTTGGATACATAAGTGGTTTTTAAGGAATTTTCGATAAATTTATTACAAAAAATAATAAGTTAATAGCATTAGTAAGTTCTTGAAAAATTCACCGCTTGATAGTTTTTAGAAAAATCGAAATTCCAAAAAGTCTTTTAAGTTATTGCTCGTCCCGAAGATTTAAACAAGTAAGTTTCTCACACTGTTAAAGCCATATTCCTTAACGTTTTGCACTCCTTATTTCACTTTTATCTACCAAATGACTTTCTAATTAATATAAGGCGTTGATGCAAGAAATGCATTGTCGACACAAAGTCGACATGCGAGTGCAAAATTTTAAGGAAGATATTTATAAATGAAAAGAGGAGTTACTGCCTAACGGATTCTATGTAAACATTCTTGAACCCTAATTTTGCCACGCCTTTTTTATAGCAAATCATAGATGACTATGGGTCACTTAGGAGAATTATTGCAATAATTGAAATGTCATTGTCACAGACCACATATTGTTTCAGGGTACAAAAGTGACTCAGAGCTACCGGGTGGAGAGGTTACGGTTAATTGAAAATTTTTCATTACAGCCAAAGCATATTTGCATTGCAGAGAAAAGCAATTGATGAACATAGGATTCATTACGATCAAGCCCTGGCTTCAAAGTGTCAAAGAAAGGGATATTGAGTTAGCAAATCAAGTCCACCAAAAATTAAAAATTATAATATTCTTAATACTCTCATAAGGGCCGCAGCTTTATTCAACTGATTAATATACTCGAGTATCACTTCCTCACTTATAACTTCTTAATAATAACAACAGTGAGATTATAAAATCTTTATCTACTTAGGTATTCGTTTTCTGCGAAAAATAAACTAGAGACCGAAGTCTACTATATCGGGAGAAACAATTAAGAAGAGGAGATTAACAAATTCCTTTAAAATTTTGATTATTAGGATAAGTTTAAAGGCAAATCTATTTTAAAATCTGTCTTCTATTGCTGAAGCTTCCTGACTTTCTGGTTAAGAATCTGATGAAGAAGAGTTAATATCTTTGCGACGTATCCTATGATGTTAATGCTCTTAATAATATTGATACTGAAGGTGATGACGAAAAGATGGACCCAATTGAACAACGTCACATGGCCTAATTTCATTAAATGCATGCGAAAAGGAAAAGGTAGGACTAGGTATCTAGTTTTCTAAATGAATTTTATTAATTAAACGACAGTGTCAGTTGTGAGATTTGTAATTAGCGGATTTAGAAGGAGTGAATTTAAATGAAAAGAAAAGGCTTTTATATTTCTTAGAACATAATATGAATGTAATCTAAAAGTTGCAAATTTAACTCATGCTCTCTATTTAAACTATAGGAAATTAATTAATTAAATTAACAATATTAAAAAAGGAAAAAAATAAAATAAATGAAAAGAAAAGAAACATTTATAGCAAATGGTGAATTTCTTAAGTACTTCTTTCAAATCGATTTTTAAAGTGTTGTTACAAGCTGTAAACAAGTCTCCAAAAGGATTTTCAATTTGTGAACTTACCACATTCAACATTTTAAAAAAGTTAAAGAACTTTTGCAAAATTATATAATCAATCACTTTGTTATGAAAATTTCAAATTTCTTGTCAAAAGTCAAAATTCACTATATCTTCTTTAGCTTTTTTAAAGAGATACATATCTCTTTTAAAACATTGTATTGATGTTGTGTGTGTGTGAGTGTAGAAAAGAAATGAAATAAATACTATTTAATGATAGCGACGAATGTCACTATAGATTGTCTAATAGAATGAAAAAATTTTACTTAATCAATCCAGCAAGAATTTTATCAAACTATAATAACCCCACCCCCCATATTGCAATAAAATAGTACTTCTAATTATTATTACTATTATAATTATTAATTTTTTTTTTTATTATTTTTTTTTTTTTGGAGAAAAGAAAATGAAAAACAAAACTGTGGTCAACAGCAAATCTCTACAGGAAATGAGAAGATATTTCCTTTTCTTTACCTCTAACTAATAGATATATATATGAATATATATATATATATACATATGTATATTTAAGTATGTATTTAATCTAAAAAGCTATATGTACTATAGTTTAACACTTAGACAATTAAATAGTATTTAAATATAAATTTGATTTTTTTTTTTTAAATAAATCATCTATGATCGTGTATATGAAATATATACATACACTCATTGCCAATGTATTTAATAAAATAATCTCAAATAATAATATAATAATATATTTAATGATTAAAATAAAAGAGAATTGACTGTTAATTTTTTTTACATTTATTCATATTTCCTCTCTAGAATTGATTTACATACTATTTTTCAGCCAATCTTGAATATCATTTTGAGAAATGGAACTACAATCAATATTGTCGTCGCATTCGTTCTTTTCTATAACTCTTCACGTTTGGTCTCATTGCTCATTTTCATCAATTTTATCTAATTTTTTTTTTTCGCTCACCGTAAAGAATAGCGAATTATCTGCAAGGGGACAAAATTGATAAAATTTGGAAAGAAAAAGTGAAGGCACTGTAGTGGGCTACGGTTCACCGTTAAATACCCCACACTATCCTATAGTATTCGTATTCATATAACGACTTTTTAAAATAAGCTGTTGTATGGCAAGTGTCCGGAGAACTAATTCGATATGAATTATTTTGAATAGCGTCCATCCTTGAGCGAAAATTTGTCAGTGTACCAATGCTTATAAGATAAAAACTGCAGTCTTTAGTGCATAAGAAAAAAACGGAACCGACAAGTCCGTGAGAAAGTGATTCTGAATCGATTGATATAATAAAAGGCGAGTCAATCTCAAGTCCTTCTGTAGGTCGAATATATCCACGAAAACAGGCGTAGGGTATAAAATTATTTGAAAACGAAATTTGAAAATATATGGAATTTTTTTCTATAATGTTAATGTGTTTGCTAATAGCTTATCGCTCTTCAAAACCTGGGTAAAGAAACAGCGTATGATAATGAATCACTATATAATACCGACGTTGATCCAAAACTAATCCAATCGACTGGCAAAAAGTTTTCAGGCACTGCGTATAATTTGATTATGGAAAGAGGTGAAGTTACATGAAGATGTTTGTTATTTCTACACACTTTTCCAAATTTTTTTTTGATTTCTTTCTCTTGTTAAGGTCTTTTCACCTCATATTCATGTTATGCTATTTTTTTTCTTTTTCGTACTTAATTTTCATTGCCGCGTTTTGGTTTTCGTTACATAAAACAGAGTAAGCACAGCCAAGGCACTGCATAGCCAAGTGGATGACAGTCGCGACTACAAAATCAATGTCCGAGTGTTCGAAACTCATTAAGGTAGGCCATATTTAGGCGCAGCCAAAGTCACATCACATTTATTGATTGGCCACACATATCCACTAAAAAGCGGCCGCTCCCTACCTACTTCCCTTCCCACCACTTTTTTTTGAACATCGCTCTATTAAGCGTATAGATAACATCGCTTGAGGCAGTCCCTGTCGTGTCTATTCTTATTAGCACACTTCTATTCATTGACTATTTTATGCTATTAAACAGATTTTTAATCCTAAACCTCTGTATGACTAGTGATTCATTCTGTCTTTTAACGTAACATTAATTTGTTACATAACGTATGACTTTTCATACAATTAGACATAAATCTTTTTTGCGGTCTCGTGGCTATAATAGTGCAAGACTCGGAAATTTTAAAAAGCAATTTTAAAGAAGTTCTTTCAGCGGCTAGACACCTTAGAATTTTTTTCAATCGTAGGCGTTACTACAGAGCACAATAGCACAGGGAATATTACATCAAAAAAAATTAATTGGTCAACAGACCAAATTCTGCATAATTCTCGCAAACGTTTGTATTGAAACAAACCTATAAAAGGAAGAGTGAGAGAGAGAGAAAAAGTGAATGATAAATTCTTGATTTATCTTGGAAGTAGTTTTCTGCTAGTTGTAGTCATGCAAAGAAGCCTATTAGAAATACATTACATGTTGGATTTTTAAATGGATATTTGAGATATATGGTAAGTTATTAACTGAAATATATCAAGGAGAGGGGTTCGTTTTAATGTTTGCAATCGAATTCTGACAGTCTTTAGTCATAAGAGCAAACAATCAGTTTTCTTTTTCCCTCAAGTTTCCGTATCTTTGTATCAAATTTCATAGTCTGGATCTATAGTCGCCATTAAATTCGCAAAAGTCGATTTTTTTATAGAGGCTGTTAATCTACCTGCAGTTATAATATCCAGCTCCGCGCATCATCCACAGAAATGTTTTACTTTTCGATAAGATGAAGTGGAACAATTGTTTCCGGTTTTTCTTTTCTCAAAATGTTCTTCTTGTCAATCTGTTATTTACTCTTTTGTTTTTCTTGTTTATTAAACGGAATATTTTTAAAGCATAATTTTAGGATTTAATGACTTTAATTGTAAGAGAAACTCAGTCATACGTAAAAAAAAAAAACGAAAATTAGAAATCTATAGCATCATGTTAGGCTTAAGCCTTAAGCAAGAACACATTCGCAATCAAATTCGAATGTAAATAAATTTTGAAATTCGAAACATTAGAAAAGTGAAAATCCTTTTAGTTATTTTTGATTTTATAATATATATATAAATATAATTCATTCCTATAACAAGAAAGGGGACTTTTATAAATAATACGCATATGCGTTCACTTTTAATGAGAGTAATATGTATGTAGGCTATGTTAGAGTAAATAAACATATAAGAAAGAAACCATTGAGGTCCAAATTATAAGTTATAAATCAAGATATATCCAGAAATTCAATATGAACACAAATTAACATCGATAGAGTTTGTAGATTAAATAAAATAGTGAATGTAACTCTCATCTAATGTAAGCAATACTTAGAAGAATATTCTTATAAAATCATAGAGGAAATAAAACTAAATCCCGAAATGCAATATATAATGTGGAAGGAGAAGAAAGATGATTCGTCTTTCATGGCGAAAAGGTTCGGTAAACATTTGTATATATGAAGGGGATTACGTGAAGCCCTTAGGCTTAGGTAAACATTTTATTTTATTTTACTTCACTTTAATTTAGTTTACTGTGCTTTCCCTTTGTCTGAATATACGTTAATGCTTTATTTTAAAAAAGAAACACCATGTAAAACGCGATAGTGGGCCGCGTTAAATACTCTACACCACTTTTCTTGATACGGTTATTCATATAACGATTTTTTCGGATCCGAACCATTTCCAATAGTGTTCATCCCTTGGCTGAAACATGCCGCTGTGCCAAATTTCATGAAAAGAATTTCTAAAAAATTGCGCTTTGTACGTTGAATACAAGAAAATGAAATGGTCAGGCGGACGGGCGGATAGACGGACAGAGAAGGTTAGGTCGATTCACGAAGTGACTCCGAATCGAAGGTGGGTCCATCTCAAGTCCTTCTGAGCGTTGCGTACATCCGGGCATATACCACGTGGTGTAAGGTATAATATATATAAATAAATCTACCAAAATTTTCAAATATTTTTGTTCAATACCCGACATCACACGTTCCTCCTAATTTCCATTAACCAAACTTTTACTCACTTTAAGTACAATTATCATCGCTTTCACGTTGACTTAACACGTTTAGAAAACATTTAATGAAGGCTGTCGTTACTTCATGATGCGAACAGAAAATTATATTCTCTTGTAATGTGATTTATACTATCATTGATGAATAAGCTCTTAGCTCTATATACTCACAAATATACTCATGTATATAATCGTGTTCTAATGAACTTAAAAATAACAATTTTACCAATAATCAATGAAAATAATTTCTCTCTTCGATGATTCTTCTCTTTCTTTTGCATAACAATATAATTAAAATTTGAAATTTGTATCAATCGTAGGTTAAATATTAGGTTATTCAAATTTATATATGAATGTATTTATGTATAAAAAAAGCAATTGTGTGAAAAATATAAAATTATATATAGCTCTTCGTCTCTCTAAAATTACTTGGTTACCGTCTGTATAATATACGGACTATGTTAGAAATTTTCAAGTAAATAAAATATATTATATAAAATAGTGTGTAGGTTTATATGTATCATTAACTCTTGTGTAATTCAAAAAATTACTTTTTTTTTCTTTTCTGTTCTTTGCAAATTAATTATGCAAATTTTTAGAAATGATTATATATATAAAAAGAATTCAGAATTTTCAATAAAAGAAAAATGGTTATTAAAGAAAATATATACATATATATATATATATATATAAATATGTACTTATCTTG